GCCGGGTATATATATATATATATTTAAATTAAATATATAAATATATATTTTTTATTTAAATTAAATTTATTAATATTATATATATATATATATATATATATATATAATTATTTTTAATATTTATCGGGTCGGGTATCGGGGCGGGTAATCGGGGCGGGTAATCGGGTAATCGGGGCGGGGATTACCAAACCCGTCCCCGTCCCCGTCCCCGTTTAAAATAAATGGGTTTTCCCCATCCCCGTCCCCGTTTATCATCCCCGAACCCGACCCGTTTAATTCGGTTTTCGGTTTTCCCCGTCGGGTTCGGGTTTTTTTGCCATCCCTAAGTATACTTGGCCTGGTGTGTAACACCCCCAACCCGTACTCGACTCGGATACAAGTCCAAGATGTCACATTGACTTTTTAAAACAATATTCTTACAAAATATCAAAACATTTGAACTTATATTAAGAAAATACAATAATATACTATTAAATTATGCTTCATTATAAAATTTAAGTCAAATATGTATTTATGAACAATACTATACGATATGAACAGTACCGTGAACAGTGAAATTTTTTTAATATAAATTGTGTATCGATGCACTGCTACAGTAATTTCGTAAAAATATGTATACACTCGTAAAAATCTATGCTTTATTCCTATAAAATTTATCAATTACATATACGCATTTAAAACATTACAAAACTCAATCGTATGACTTTTCAAAACCGATTAGAACATATCGGATTTAATCCTTTATTTACATGCCAACCACTTTCTTTATTACAAAATACATAATATACGTTTCTTTTCTAATATGATCTTTGGAAAGGAGAAACTGACATGTCTTGCATAACTTTTATCAATCTTCCTCTGCTCAAAACCTACGCGTGAAACAATCACACGCTAAGTCGTTTACTTAGTGAGGCATATAACATATAATGGAAACCATAAAACATTTCATAAAGAAATACACTAAACATCACATAATTCATATCAAATGTATGAGAATTTATTACGATCATATCATATAAAATCATATATCATTTCTGTAACATATACCTACATACACATATATCCTTATCAACACATTTAACATTTCATATTCATTATCATTAATTCTTTTTTATCATATAAGCATATGTTGAACATTTCCATATACATTATAGAACACATATATCATCTCATAACAAAACACACATAACATCATATAATTCATTTAACGCATTTCGTATCATCAAAACATATACATCATATATATATATATATATATTGTATTTGATATTATCTCTTTATTAGCCCATGGTACACTGGTGAGAATTGAAGGTATGTGAGTACATTGAGGTTGTGCACTAATGTTGTCACCACAGCTCGTATAAATTCCCACTAGGGGCACTGGATATTTATCCCGAAGGTCCACGTAGAAATGTCCCGAAGGACCACTATGTCTCAAAGGACCATATATCGCATATCTCCCAAAGGACCACTCCTTAAGAACCGTATACATAATACAATGAACCAAATAAGTGTACCGAAGTACCACATACATGTTCCACGGAATTACATATATGTCCCGAAGGACCATGTAGAATTGTCCCGAAGGACCGCGTAGACCCTCTACTCTTGGCATGCCAACTATGCCTATAGCTCTCGTATCATATAACATGTGCATTATCATTTATGTCATTTCACATATTTATATATGCACATAGTTCACTTATACGTAGAACATTTTCATATGATTCACTTTCACATGTCACATATTTCATATCACTTTTCATGGAATCACGTAGGTTATTTCATATGGCTTATATCATTTCTCCTTTGTTCATATACATGTCATATATACATCACATAGCACATAAGATAACATATCATGTATATCACATAGTTGCTAACATATTTTTCATATATATATATATATATATATATATATATATATATATATATATATATATATATATAAATTCATGTAGTTCAATATCACATATTGCATATAATAACATATGACACCTATACACATTTTCATGTACTCATGCACACATAAATATCACATAACATTTTAGAGATTACTACTTACCATAATAACTTTGTCACTGACTCATTGCAAGCCAATGTTTGATTGATAATATTAGTACAATTAAATTGCACTCACCTTAGCCTTGCTTTGATTCAATCCTAATTTTTTGATTGTTCCGGAACTTGTTCAGGTTTAATGTCTACATAACCATACATTTTAAGGTAATTATCAGATATCTACACCTTGTAATTTGATACTAATAGCCTAAACGAATTTAATATACCCATATTCACTTTTTCCTTTAGGGGTGTATCGATGCTCTATGGGTGCATCGGTACACAAAATAGCTTCGAAATTCCCATGCATCGATGCACCCCTTAATGCATCGATACACCTTCAATATTGTCTTAGTGCATCGGTACACACTCATAGTGCATCGATGCATCTGCCCAGAATAGGTTATTTCATCCGAAAATCATCAACACTTCATCCAAATTTTCATGTATAAAATCCTTGTTGTGCTACTAAATTCATCTATAACAACTTTAACAATTTCCTATCATTCCAACACCTTATAATCTTCCATATTTCATCCAAATTCTTAAGGCTAAGAATCATACCAAAATTTCCATGTTTTCCAATCTTTGATTTAACACTTATAACTTCTTATTCACACCTATGACAAGTCAAATTTAGTTTCAAATTCAACTTATCAACTCTTTTCTAAAAATTCACTTAAAAACTCATTTTCTTTAATCTTTCATAACTTCTTCATCTTTTGATTTTAAGATAACTTAAGCTTTCCTTAAGCTTAGTTATCATCTAATGATCAAAACTCACTCTTAAAATTAACAAATAATCAACAAAATAGAAAACTCACATTTGCTCTAGCTTGGGCACGTTGGAGAAGAAGAAAGCAAAAGGAAGAAGATAACTCTCTTCCCCCCACGTGAATCATTTATATAAAGGGAGAAATATCTTTCTTGTCAAATGACCATTTTGCCTTTTAATTCCTTTGATAATTACTAACAACTTTAAGGAAATATTTCGAAATAAATCATTGCACTATTCAACTATTCTACTTTAATTACTAAATTCTAAAATTTTACAATTTGATCACTAACCCGGTATTGAGGATGTTACATGGTGGCAAGAAACATACCATTTCACGCCCTTGCCCAGGTTTGAGTCCCCTTCCAGACAAGATAATTTTTATTCATTCTTCTAAATTCACACCAATATTAATTTTTTAACAAAAAATCTAACGTATCAATTCCATGTCAGCATACATTAGTGACATGGACACGTCACGTCATCATTTGTGTCCACATGTGCTTGCTTAGTCAGCTGAAGGCGTTTACTGTCAGTTGACTAACTGTTTCCATCCAACGAGTGACTTTTGAATCAAAATAAAATGTTGAGGGGTTAAATATTCCCCAAAAAAACAATAGGGGAAAATTTGTATATACTGTCAAATGTTAGGGGTATTTGTTTGCATTATGCCTATATATATAATATAGTTAGGAGTTATACTTCAGATATATTTCCTGTTAGGAGATATATTTGAAAAACACATAATTTTATCACGTTTTTGAAGTGTTTCTTCGATGCTTTGCCTTTGCATTCAACAATATTATTCCAGAATTGACCAGGTTGTCTCAAATATCCTCTTTTTGAAATATTTCACAACCAAAACCCCATTAATCTAATCTAATTTTAAAACTACATTGTCTCCTGCATGACATTTTCCAAAAAAACGACCATTAAACTTAACATGAAACAAACCACCTCAGTAATTAGAGACTTGTTACTGTTTTTTATATTCTAGGTTCGAATATCACGTTTGTAGGTATAAACTTTTATTGTCAAAAAGTTAAAAGTCCTTAAATAAATACTATTTTATATTTATCCATATTTATATATAAAAAAAACTTAATTTGATGTTTCGTTAGTCTTAATTTTCTCTGAAAAATATAATTTTATTTTAGAAATCATAAATGTTCACATGTGAGATTTTATTATATTATTTAAGTTTAAATACACCATTGTCCCGTAAAGTATATTATTTGAACCGAGTTACCTCCTAAAGTATTTTTGAGATATTTTGTCCTCTAAAATTTAAATCGTTACCTCGTTTGCTCCAAACCGTTAACGTTATTAAAAAAAAAGAAAGGGCAAATTATATATTTAGCCACTCCATTATTCTCGCGGTTCTGTTTTGGTCATCCAATTATTTTTTAAAAAAATATAAGTAGACTTAGGGTTTTGTTTCATTTTAGTCACCTAATTTTATAAATTTATTTTTTTAATTGATTATATATAAGAATAAAATTAATATATAAGAGTTCAGTTTTATCTTTTAACATATAAAATATTATAATATTAAAATACACCACTCTCAGTTCTTTGTTGCCATTCCAATTCCACCAAATTCAATCTTTAATTTTACATTTTGAAGTTTAAAATAATAACAAAAAAGGTAATAATAGCAAATTCTTGGCCAAGACCCATACTATAATCAATATTTGATACTAGCATCTTTTTTCCATTCCTGAAGTTGTGATTTCCTTTTGCTAGGTTTATATTTTTATTGTTTCAATAAGCTTTAAGTCCTTCAACTGTAAGCACCGAGAGAATACCTAAGACAAGCTTCACAGTTAAAATCAATTTGATCACTGATCTTCTGCAATTTCTGCAACATTTTGATATGTCAGTTATGTAAGTTTATTTTGCAACAAGCTCTATTTGATTCATGTATGTATATGTATGTATCTATTTTTGTATGTATACTTTGAAATTTATAATCTAATATCTTGAAATTTTGCATGTATGTCACTTGAAATGGAGAAACATCCTTGAATTCTCGTGAACTGTATTTTCATGCTCTTATTTGAATCTTGAAATCATTTGCTGTCAAATTACAGGCTAATTTATTCCTTGTTTCAGTTTGAACACACAATATATATGACTGTGGAATGATGATTAGAGGAAGAGGATGATTTCAAATTCAAGAGAAAAGGGTTGTTTTCAATCAAAGCAAGAAGGCGAAATCAACAGTGATGGCAGCAAGGTCTCCAAGGTTCCATCGAGTTCGACTCGGTGGTCAGGGTTTTGGAATCCGAGGATCGTCCGATTGCCGCATTCTTTCGGCGGGAAGGATCGACATAGCAAAGATTGTATGGTGATAAGGCGATTAATAAGGGACCGTCGGATTAGGCTTTCAGTGCCGACCACAATTCAACTATACGATTGGCAAACTCAGCTAGGCCTTAAGCCTAGCAAAGTTTCCGATTGGTTGCTTGAAGCAACAAAAGATGATATTGATAAGTTCCCATCACTTCAGTTTCATCCGCCATTGATGGAAAACAATCCATCTCAATCATCTTCTTTTGCACCTTTTTTGGATCCAAATTTGATATCAATGCATGGGATTTGAAGAGAAAAAATGCAGGTTGAAAGGGAAAATATTACAGACACGAAGGGAAAATGGATCAAAGAGCAAGAAAAGCTAATTTCCCATTAAACAATCATGGTCCAGTTGTTCAACAACGGGGATTCCAATTCCATGCCTTACAACACTTACAATAACTATTATTGGGAGCTTCTTTGAATATATCTTTGTCGTCGTTTCAGTTCGGAAGTCATGGATTCCATCACCAACCTGAAAATTACTTCAGTGCACCGTCACTTTTTCTGACATACCCTTCTTATGGGAGGACGATTATAGGTGATAATAAATCATTTCACATTATTGAACTCAAAACATCACAACATTTACATGAAAAATAAATCGAATCAAATTGAGTGATCAAAATGAAATAAAAACTTAAGGTTAGTGATGATTTTGAAATTAAAAAATAATTCAGTGGCCAAAATAGAACCATAAATATAATTGAGTGACTACATTTGTAATTTACGCTTTTTACCAGAGTTAACTATTTAAGGAAAGGAGATAACAATTTAACTGTTAAGGGGTAAATCATTTTAAAGAAAGGGCAATTTGGTACACGTGGTATACGTGAGTAGAGATGGGTATACGAATTATCCGTCCGTTCAGTTTGTGGGTTTTAGTGGTGCGGGCTTAAACGGAGCGGTTTAAAAAGGCCGTAATTATAAACGGTTTGAATTCTAAGGCCGCGGCCCGTCCATTTAACTCTCGGGTTAAACGGGCTTACCTGCGGCCCGTTAAATAAAAATAATTTTAAATGTTTTAAATGTAATAAAAATAATGTTCTAACTTGTTACACATTTAAAAATGATCCAATAACTTGAAAAGGAAGATAGCACCGTCAAAAAATAAATAATATTTAAATTTTATTTTAAATAGCCGAAAATGATTATAAAATAATATTTTTTTAAATTTTTTAATCATTAATATATATATAACGATATAATTACTTAAACTCAAATTAAAAAAAAACAATATTCACTTATATCACCAAATTGAAAACAAATAAAACAATAACTACATTATACTTTTATAAAATACGATTATTTAATGCTATAATATGAAGACACAGAAGTGCCTGGAAGCATAAATTCAAACAAAAAAAATTCAAACAGAAAAATTCAACAAAGTAAAACATTATACAAATCTAACAAATTTTCTTTTGTAAAAGCCTTTAAAAGTTGAAAAGTATGTTTTCAATTTTTTCTTTTACTTTTCTTTCTTATTTTTAATCCAAATATTACATGTCATGTGATATATTATTAGAATATCATGTGATTTTTTATAATTAAAGAACGAAATGAATAACACTTCATGAAAAAAATAAAGGTCAAAATTAAATTAAAAATCTTTAAATACCAAAGTGATAATGATGTAAATTTTTTAAAACTAAAATACTATATAAATCTTTTAATTTTTATTTTTTAAAATGAATAATATTTTGATACATTGTAAATGAAAAAAAAAATATCAAGCACCTGTAGAATTATGACAAATGTCCTAATAAATTTAAGAACTACAATGGTTATAAGTAACATCATATTTATAGGTAATTTATTTTCTTTTTCTATAAAATTCTTTAAGTTTATTTTCTCTAACATTTTATAAATTTTAAATTAAGCGGGCTATTGCGGGCTTCGCGGGTTACCCACGGTTATACCCATTAAACCCGTGGGTTTAACGGTCCGGGCTAAAAAACCTGTAATTTAAACGAGCTTTAGTTTTTGATGTCTAAAACTTACATAGATCGCGGGTTAAACGGGTAGCTCGCGGGCCTTAGCCCATATACCCACCTCACGTGGGGTAACGGCGCATTTAATACTATATAAGATTTGGGAACTTGGAGTAACATGTGGAATTATGAACTAATTATAGAAAATCAACGTGTGAGCCATCTTTCAGATATTCAATTGAAAAAATAAATAAATTTTAATGTATAAATCATCAATAAAATAATTAATTAATTAAAAAATAAATTTTAAAATAAACATCAACCCTCCACGGCTTGCCCCTAAACAGAAGTATAAACTCCATCAAACAAAACATTGGTTGGACTCAGAAATGGTCTGCAATTATCCACCTTTTCAATCTAAAAACCTGATGCTGTACTTTACAGGATATTTCAATGAATGTTCACACTTAGGGATACTTAAAATACACGAATTTGAAAGGTTTCGACTCGATCTTATTTTATAAAGATGATTTTTTTTTTTTAATTTTGGGATACGGATTGAGACAATACATGTTATATGCTAGGGGTGTGTAAATCCGGGTACATAATTTTTGGGTACCAGAACTTTCGGTTCGACGATTTCTCGGCCCGTGTCCCGACCCGGATTTTACGGGTACTAGGTAATCAGGTACCTGGTACCTGATTTTTTTATTTTTATTTTCAAAATATTAATTTTAAAAAAATATACACAAATTTAAATGTTCGAAACTTCGAATTACATACTCTAATATCCGAGCATAAAATTTAAAAGTTCGAAATACAAAATCTAATAATCCATAATATAAATAACTCATTATATTTTATATAATTATATATAAAAAATAAAAATAAAAATAAAAACTAACCGGGTACTCGGGTAACCGGGTACCCGGAAAAACTAGATTTTGTGACCCGGGCCCGACCCGGGAAATGTCGGGCCGGGTACCCAACCCGGCCGGGTAATTTTTTTTTAGAGAATTACCCGGTTTTTTTAAATCCGGGTCGGCAGGTCAACGTGTCGGGTCAACAGGGTCGGGTAATTTTGCACACCCCTATTATATACTAAGTACGTTTGGAGGGGGACGAGACAGGATTTAAGATAAAAAATTATTGACCCGACCCGACCTAGTATAAAATATATAATATATTTAAGAGTTTAAATATTTTTATTTTTATAATGTTAAAATATATTATTTAATTATTAAAATATAGTAAATTATTATAAAAATATATTATTTTAATCATTTAAAATATAATAAATGATTATAAATATATTATTATAAAATATATTATTTAAATTATTTAAAATATTGATATATTTGGGTCGAGATCGAGTTTATAGTATAAAAATCGAGACTGATTTAGGCCATGGAAAAACCTAAAAATTATCGTGACAGGGTGAGATCTGGTATTAATAAAATATTTTCGAGTCGGGTTGAGACATCTGGAAACCCGACCCGACGTGCCCAGTGGCCATTCTTATTCACACTGCGCCTCCAATCATTATTTTATTCAAGTGCCCCATTTTAATTTTTTAATCACACGTTGTCTTTCTTTTGTTAAACAATCATAAGGCTCCAAAACGTATATTAGTTATTTATTTCTAAATGCATGTAATAATTTTATTTCTTTGTTACTTCCCATTAACCAATTTCTTTATTTAAATGCTGAAAGTAACACGCGCTTTTAATTAATCCATCTACAGGGGCCTCTTTTCTTTTTTCTAACTCTAACCATAACCGTTAATATTTCATCTAATTTAAGCTTAACATTTATATATAGCTTTTTTTTAATCCTAAACTAAAGGCATAATTATATATTCTTCTATCACCATTAATATAAGGAATTAGTCACCTACGATTATATAAGAAAAAAAAAATGAAAAACTCTAACAATAGCTATATATAAACAAATTTGATTACTACGACAAATGAACCACAATAATATATTAAACTAGTAAAACACCACCGAAAAACGCAAATCAGATTTAAATATCGTGAGAAAACTATCTACGAACGTAAGTTGCATATCCAAATCCAATTCAATGATCCAAAACATGGAAGATCAATGGGATAACAAATTATCACTATCTTGATCAATAGCAAAGATGTCAAATTTAATCTTGAAAAAAGAAGAAGAGAAAAACAACCAAACAACGGTAAAAGAATGCTCAAAAACGTGTAAAAAAACATAGTGCAATAATAATGCTCAAGTTTTATTTAACAAATACTAAATTGTTTTAAATCGCGGTCGCATTCGTGTTTTCGGTTATTTTGGATTTATCGTGATTGCGGCCGTCGCGGGTAACTCAAACAGAGACAAAACCGATATATCGCGGACGAAATCGCGGTCGCGGACCTTTTTTTTGAAACCCTGCTCTGTGCAATGAAAACCTCCTCGCATTAATCGAAAGGGCGTGTATCATTTCCAAATAATGACATGATCCGTGCATCAATTTCTATTACCATATTTTAGTTATCAGAGTTGTGATAATTCAGTAAACTGATGTATTCAGAAGAATTATTGTGCAACATTCCCAAACAAAAGGTAAGGTCTTAATCACCCTTATCTTGAACATAGCTTAGAATGGTTTTGTAACCCTCTAGACCCGGCCTATGCGTTTCGACTAAGTCTAGTGGATCACATTATGATTATTAAAGACATTTTTCGCAACCGTTATTCCATCAATATAAAATCACATTATAAATAACATGAAATTATAAACAAATTATACTATCAAAATCCAACTCGTAAATATAGTACAAATAAATAATAATTTAATTTAAAACATGTCTTCAAATTCAAAATCACAATAAACCGAGCAGTATTAGCAAAAGAGTTATCATTATAAAATCTGATATTTTAAAATAAGGTCCATGTCACCAAAATAAAGTCAACTTGCCAGATAAAAACATTACAATCTGATTTACTTCAAGAGATATGTTGATCCTCTAAGTGCTCGAACCAAGGTATCTAACCAACAGTATCTGAAAGGGGGAAAACATTTTCAAAAGGTGAGCTAGGCTCAGTGTGTCCCAACATTTCCATAAAATCACAATAGGTACAAATCATAGTCCAGTAATCTCACAAATTCGTAAAAGAGTTAACTTTTTGAAAATCATAGTTTAAACCCTTTTCTGGTACACCATCAGTAGTTCCCAAAATTATTTTCCATATAGCTTACTTTATGCACATAGCAAAAAGAAAGCCGACTTAAGGATAGGCTCTGAAGCTTGTATCCTTAAGCCCAAGTCAATAAGTCCATATAGCTTACCCTAAGCACACAGCAAAGGAAAGCCGGCCTAATGAAACATCTTGGGGCCCTCAAGAGTCACATTAGGCCCAGTTAGCTTGATCAGAGCTATTCCATCGTAATTCAATTCCAAAATTCAATTGCACCGTGACATAAATTCCATAAATCCAAAAACATGGTAATCATATACCATTTCAAAACAAAAATTAGATAGCAGCCATATTCCATAAATTGTCACATTAAATTGGTGCATCCATAAAACAATAACCAATGAATTCGGTGTACCACATATTAAAACCAATAAAACAGTTCAATAATAAGTAGGGAACACACCTCGACAATAGATTCAAATAACAAATCTACTGATTGCTGGTTTCACCACGCTCTGCTACAGTTTTCGAACGGGTGAATACTGGCACACGTGGTTTAACTGATCTAGAAGAGCTGGGTCGAGCTGTCGAACGATCCGGAGAGTCTCTTGTACCTTCAAACAATAATATTTATCAGTCTCAAATCCTATTTAATTGTTCAAATCTAAACTTCTTAAGTATATACGCATTTTTCGGGTTTGACTATCAATTTGAGGTATTTTGAGTCTGAATTTGGCCAAACGGATTGCGGAATCGGAATCAGGGCGTCGAAAAACATAAAGTATGACTTTTCGAAAATTCAAATTCTTGGTCAAAGTCAAAGTCAACCATTTTGACCGTAGATTTGGAGACCTTCGGATTCGAATTTGACAAAACGGACCACGGAAACGGATTCGGCACGTCAGAACCTATCAGGATAGGTATACTCGGAAATGATTAACGGTCGTTTAATGCTCGGTCAAAGCCATTTTAAGTTTTGGTCAAAGAAAGTCAACGGTCAATGGTCAACGGTCAACGGTCAACGGTCGGGTCGGGTCAACGGACGGGTCGGGTTGGGTCAACGGTCGGGTCGGTTCAGACCGGTCAAACCGGTTCAGACCGGTCAAACCGGTTCAGACCGGTCGAACCGGTTCAGATCGGTCGAACCGGTTGAAAACCGGTTAAACCGGTTTCCAGCAGCCACTCGCCCTGCGGCGGCGCGTGTGGCGCGTGAGGCGTCTTCCGGGGCCCTAAAAATCCCGAAAAAATTTCTAAAAATTATTTTGAGCGATTTCAAGATACTTACAACGATCGGTTCAAATTTTTGAACGGCGGAGAGCTCGATTTCAAATCGGCCGAATCTTTGACTGCACCACCTCCTCACGCGCCGCCGTCTACGGCGGACAAGGTTGACACCGGTGAACTCGGAACGACACAAGGAACACGATGGTGCGGGAGGTGTCGTAAACGGAGCAACGATCAGCGGTGAATTTAAGATTTCCTCGGCGATAGAGCTAACAAAACCGTCGCTACTTTGACTGGAAATTCCCGACGTTTGGCCGCTTTTCGCTTCAATTAATTTGAAGGGTTTGTTCCTCACTCGATGATGAACACAACGGTGGTTTCAAAACAACGATCGGAATTCGGACGGCGTTTGGATCGGACTTGAAAATGGAGGTGTGAGAGGAAGAAAATTGAAGAAAAGCTTTTGTGTTTTCTGATTGAAATCAGAAAACACGTTAGTTATAACAAACTTGCTGACACTTTTAGGGGAAATTCAGGGCTTGGTCCCTGAATTTTCTTTACTTTAAAAATGGCATACAAGTTTTCATAAATTATACTTTAGTCACTTAATTTCACCCATTTTCACAATTTACCTCCAATTTCAATTAAATATTATTTTGAAAATCGGGTTGTTACAATTCTCCCCCTCTACAAGAAATTTCGTCCTCGAAATTTACCTTATGAGAAAATTTGAGGAAACTGAGCCTCCATTGACTCCAATGTCTCCCAAGTAGCTTCTGAGGGGCCTCGATTACTCCACTAAACTTTGACCATTAGAATTCGTCTATTCCGAAGAACTCGTTCATCTTTCTCCAAGATCTGAATGGGCTCCTCTTCATATGACAAATCAGGTCTCAACTCTACTTCTTCAACCTGAATAATGTGACCTGGATCTGGACGGTATCTCCTCAACATTGATACATGAAAGACATCATGAATACGACTTAGCTCAGAAGGCAACTCAAGCTGATATGCAACAGGTCCTACCCTCTTCAAGATACGAAATGGTCCAATAAATCTTGGACTCAATTTACCCTTACGCCCGAATCTCAATACTTTCTTCCAGGGTGAAACTTTCAAAAAGACCCGATCTCCCACTTCAAACTGTATATCCTTCCTTCTTTGATCTGCATAAGATTTCTGCCTATCAAATGCCTCTTTCAGACGGTCACGGATTAATCTGACTGTGTCCTCCGTCTCTCGCACTAACTCAGGTCCCAACGTTTTCCTATCACGCAACTCGGTCCAACAGATCGGAGTGCGACATTTACGCCCATAGAGCGCTTTATAGGGTGTCATACGAATGTTGGTCTGATAACTGTTATTGTAAGCAAATTCAGCCAACGGCAAAAAGTTCTCCCAACTACCATGAAAATCGATTACGCAACCCCGCAACATATCCTCCAGAATCTGAATTACTCTCTCAGATTGACCATCAGTTTGTGGATGAAAGGATGTACTATAATACAATCTTGTTCCCAAAGCCGTATGTAACGCCTTCCAAAATCACGAAGTAAATCTCGGATCTTGATCAGAAATAATAGACAATGGAACACCATGCAATCTGACAATCTCTGAAATATACAATCTTGCCAGCTTATCCAAAGTATAATTTACTCGCACAAGAATGAAGTGAGATGACTTTGTAAGTCTGTCAACAATCACCCAAACTGAATCTTTTTTCGAAGGAGTCATCGGCAAGCCAGTAACAAAATCCATAGTAATACGCTCCCATTTCCATTCAGGAATCTTGATAGGCTGTAACAAACCTGATGGATGTTGATGTTCTGCCTTAACTTGCTGACAAGTCAAACACCTAGCCACAAAGTCAGATATGTCTTTCTTCATACCAATCCAATAATACCTCTCTCTCAAATTCCGATACATCTTATCTCCTCCGGGGTGCATAGCATATGGACTACTATGAGCCTCAGTAAGGATAGTCTGCCTCAACTCAGCATCATCAGGCACACAATATCTACCTTTAAAGC